GGCTCTGTCCACACTGAGTCACTGTGAAAACACTTCAGGATAATAAGGAGTTACTATATTCCTCCATGTTCTTTATTTTTTTCTAGATTTGCCTTCTTTTATTTGTTTATTAAAAAAATTAAAAGCACAGTTGGACAAATTGTTCTATGACATGAATACTACAATAAAAATTTCTGCTAGGAGGAGTTTTCTTTTTAGTGCCTTTTACAATATGACCAGTTAGTAATTCGGGCAATTAGTAATTGCCAGGTAGTAATTGCCTTTTAGAGAAATGGCAAGGGAAGGAGAAAGAGAAGGAGAGAAACATCAATGTGTGGTTGCCTTCCATGCGCCCCCCACTGGGGACCTGGCCCTCAACCCAGGCATGTGCCCTGACGGGGAATAGAACCAATGACCCTTTGGCTTGCAGGCTGGCACTCAGTCCACTGAGCCACACCAGCCAGAGCTAGATTCACCTTCTAAAGACAACTTTATAGTACCTTTTATGTTCACTGTGTAAGTTTTGGAGATAAGATTGTATCATCAGCATAATTTTTACTGTAGAAGATATTTTAAGTTTATTTATCTAAAATACAATACAGTAAGATAAATTATTATAGCCCTTTTGGCTACCTATAGAAAGTCCCTTAAAATGTTCCTTATTATGTGTCTATGTATATACCTGCATATATAATTTTTACCCATATTTCATTCAAAAAGGTGATTCATTTAGCTAATCTCATTGAAAGAGTGTGAAATGAGGCTCATATAATTTGGGCCAATCTATATATTTTTTAGCTTAAATGGTAAAAAAAAACCTTATAGTACTACATTCTAATGTTCACAGGGCCATGAGAGTTACTACATAGCAAATAAGGAAAGTAATGAGTAACATGTGCAGAAACTACAGCCAAAATAATATCTGAAAAGCACATTGCGCTCAGTGCACTGCTAGGTTGTATCGCAAAGGACCACCCCCTGTTTGTGGAGCCACGGGGAAGAAAACCAGACCTTTGCGCGCATGCTGGGTGCGTGGTCTTTTGCTACAGAGGCTCTGACTTCTCCTCGAAAATAGAGCAACAGTAGAAGAGAAGAGAGCTGTGAACAATTTAAATCCTAGTACAGATCCATGAGTGGTAAATATACATATATCTAGGGTAGAAAACAGTGCTTGTATGGTGTTTCAGGATTTTACTGGGCCATTGTGGGTATTTGTAAAATTAAGGTTTTAAATATTCTCAACCATGGATGTGTGGATTTGGACAGACATTTGGAAGAATTAACTTGCATGGTGAGGGTGTTCTAGGTCAGCAATTTTCAACTGGTGTGCCGCAAGAATTGTTAAAACAGGCAGTACCTGGCTACTTAGTCAGGAACACTTACCTCTTTTCCCTTGGATTGTCAAATTAAAAAAAAAAAAAAAAAAAGACAGCCAACACAACGATAGCTGTCCGATATGAATGAATAAAAATTATACCTATTTTTTGTCAGATCAGCAAGAAATCTGTTTTTTTGGTGTGCTGCAGGACTTTAGTGATTAGTTTGTATGTGTCTTGGGAGGAAAAGGTTGAAAATTGCTGTTCTAGACTATTATGGAAATTGTACAAATGTGGAAGCACGTGTACGAAAGAAAAGAAAATAAACTCTAATGAGTGAAATATGTGACCTTTTATGAGGTAGGAACAAAACAGTGGGAAGGAATATATTGTGGACCATTTTTAACATGGAGTTGTTAAAAAACTTTAATATATGCTATTTCTTTTTATATATATATTATTTATTTATATTTAGGGAGGGGAAAGGAGGGATAAAGAGAGAGAGAAAAACGTCAATGTGTGGTTGCTTCTCATGTGGCACCCACTGGGGACCTGGCCATCAATCAACCCAGGCATGTGCCCTTACTGGGAATCGAACCTATAGTGCTTTGGTTTGCAGCCCACGGTCAATCCACTGAGCTATGCCAGCCAGGGCCAATATGCTATTTCTTTTACCTGCAGTTAGCTTTCCTTGTCAGGGCCAAGTCAAATTCTAGCTCATCAATGTAAATTCTATGTCATCCAACATTATCAAGTACTACAAATTATATCAAAAATCTTTGTGCCACACTCATTTTTTGAGTCTTGTCATTTATTTTGCCATCTTGTAGCCCCTTTGTAGCAAGAAACAAGTTTTTAAATGGATGCTTTGAAAACATAGAGGATCATTTTAACTGACTTCGGCTTGGGTACCCAGAGCCCCCTTAAACCACATGTCTTCCTAAGGCATGCTGGCAGCTGCCCCCAGCACATCACGCCAGAGTGGGAAGGGCGCTTGTTAGTGCACCCCTGCCCTTGGCTTCTGCGGGCGGACAGGGTGTTCACCGGAAATCAGTGGGTGCTTCTTCCCTAATCTGTTTACTCCTGTGCTGCTTCTTAAAGTCATCCTCCCTTACTTAAATATGTCCTAAGTCTTCAAAATAATAATCTGGTCAAAACTGTTGCCAGGAAAACCAGGTATAAAGTCTAGAAAGACTTTTTGAGTTGCTGAAACATCTGCTGTGGAGTTTGGGGTGGGTGATGAATAAACTTGGGTGAAGGGCAGCATTACATTCTGGTCTTCACTTTAATGACAGCAGCCATGGATGGTAGGTACCTCATGAGGGAGGCTCCTACAACCAAAATATACAGAATTTCAAACACAGAGCCCTAGGCAAAGTAAGGTTCTTTGCCCTGCATCACACGCGTGTACATTTATATTTTGAGTTAATATTCAAAGTAGGTATATTTTATTTTTTATGAGTCCCCACTTAAATCTGACATCTATTTAGCATCCAGCTGCTACATCACACCCTTCAGATAACGAGGTTTCCTCTGTGTCTTGAGTCTTCTCCCAACCTGCTTGTCTCCTTTAACTTGATGACAGAAGCAGATGCCTTAGCGAGTAACAGGAGCGGTGTGATTGGGGGATGTCTCTCACCTCATCATCAGATTTTTTTTTTAAATAGACCTTGTTCTTGCCACAAGGATTTGTTTTCTGTTTTTAACACCTGAGTTAACCACACCCACAAGAGTTGGGGAAGATTTGCAGCCAGTTCTAAATTTGGGAGGATTGAAAATTGCAGTGTCCAGCAGAGAAAGCAGTGGTTGGTCATAGTAACCACGAAGAAAGAAAACAAAGTTTAATCCAGCTCTTTTCTAATGCTTCTTTAAACCACTAGCATTAGCTACGATGTGGAGATGGCTCCTTTGTGACACGTTCACTTAGGAAACAAATGCCACTGCTTTCTAACCCCACAGATGACACAACTTCACATGTGTTTACACTGTAGGGCTGTTAAATTGTGAAGAAAGTTCTATGAATGTTTCCAAATGAGCCTCTCTTTTCATGCCCATTTCCCATTTGTTTTTTTACTCCATTTAAGTATCGACCTTTACTTGAATGTCATCTACACTCCAGGTCTACAACATTGGCCTAGAGCTAGTAGGGTTACCAGTTTATTTAGCCTGTTAAGAAAAATTAAATAAAATGTGAAAATGACATGAAAATTGGTTCAAAGAAAAACAGGGGCTAACAGTGAAAAAGCCCGTCCATGCGTGGGCTGACACTCATCCGTCCTACTGTGTTCACAGTTGTGTCACTTCGCACGATTGCCAGGCTCGGAAAGGAACTCCAAAGAAACATTGAAAATGGGTCTTTCGTATAGCAGCCTTTTACTGAGCACCTGTTTTGGATCACCACTAGGTACACAAAATGAGGGGACTGGTTCACTCTGCGCGCAACTCAGAGCCTTAGGTGATGATTCTCAAACTTGAAATAAAACCCAGAGCTGCTCCGGCTGAAGGAAGCCTTTCTGAAGGACCTCGGGGCCTATTGAAAGTGGGTATCTGTGCTGAGTGTCCACTGCTAGGGGTTCGTCCAAAGAAATAATCCAGGAAGTGAGCAAGATGTTGACTCTTTCAGAGTAATGATCTTCGTTTTTAAACAGAATAGTAAATGATGTACCAGATGTTCTGGGGGATGTTCTGAGACACCTACTCCATTTGATAAAGAATTTAGCTCTGAGTTCTTTTTTCTTGTTCACAAATATTCTTTGTTAGTTGTTTCTCAGTATTTAATTACTATCTTCATAGTTTCCCGAGCCAGTTCACTTCTTTCTTTCTCCTAAATCGCCAAGGCAGAGTACATAATGTATTCAGTGCAATGATGCACCCTGTCTTTGAACCCTTCTGTCGTTGTGGGGTTTATTTCTTAAGAGTCTGTGATAAGTTGATCCAAAGTTAATACCAAGGATGATTTTAGTATGGGCTCTGCTGTTCTCTGTCCCTGATCCACGTTTACGCAGAAGGTTGTTTGGTTCTAGTTGGCCGTTAGTCAGTAGATATGAAAGAAAATTGAGGCGCGTGAACTACGTAACCAAGCGTTTGGTGTTTACTGTGGTTGATTGGCCATGGTGTCTGAGAACAGGTCAAGAGGTTAGCCAATTTCCTACTGATAATTTAAGTAGAGTTTTATGTAGTTTTAAATGTGTATTACACTGCCTGTGATCAGCTTTCAGTGGCTCAAAGCTTTTGATTTCCATAAATGGTATGGGCTTTAGTTAGTATTTGGACTATGGTTCCACAGCCTGTCTGACTTTTTTCATTCAAAAGTGAAAAATTAGCAATGCTGATGTTGTTAGGAAGTAATAGAGTTTCTGAACTCAAATGTTATTTCTCTAACAAGTTAATGCAAACTTGCTAAAAACAATAAACTAATACTGGTAAACCGGTACACCAGTGCTTAACAAGGTATCGTAGCTTTGGTTTGCCTCCTAGAGGTTTGCTTCTAAGACTTCAGTGTTATTTATTTCCCTTGAAGTGGCATCCAGGTTCACAGAGGACCAAACATTTGCAAACCTAAGACTTTAACATAATTGTTCTTCATAGAATTACATATTCATTTGGCTCTCCTGCTTCTTATGTCCTTCAAGACAATTGACATTTCAGAATGCCTCCCCCCCCCAAAAAAAAACAGAGCTAATTGATCACTTGCTCTAATCGAAGGGTTTCTCCTCTTCAAAAATCTGAAGTCGTTGAGATGGTCAAGAAACAAGTCAAAGTCATAACGCTCGCGATCGGCGATGGAGCCAACGACGTGAGCATGATCCAGACGGCACACGTGGGTGTCGGCATCAGCGGTAACGAAGGCCTCCAGGCAGCCAATTCTTCCGATTACTCCATAGCTCAGGTACAGCATCATTTCTGCAAAGCCCACCAGTCGTGCCAGTCAGCTGACATGCAGCAAAGGAAAATACTGACATTTCCCACTCTTGTTTTAGTTCAAGTATTTGAAGAATTTACTGATGGTTCATGGTGCCTGGAACTACAACAGAGTCTCCAAGTGCATTTTGTACTGCTTCTACAAGAACATAGTCCTCTACATCATCGAGGTAATAGCAGGTTAAGTTTTAATTCCTTGCTACTTGCATAGATATGTAAGGAAATTTTCTTTATGAAGACATGTTCTCATCTTAATCCATTCGCCCACTTTGTATAACTTCCAAACATGTTACAGGGGTGTCCAACCCGCAGCCCACAGACCGCATGTGGCCCAGGATGACCAGGAATGCGACCCAACACAAAATCGTAAATTTACTTAAAACGATAACAGATTTTTTTGTTTTTGTTAGTGTTTGTGTATTGAATGTGTGGCCCAGACACATCAGAAGGTTGGACACTCCTGGAAGAAAAGGTTGTCAGCCACAGAGAATAATTAATGTTTAAGTTCTGGCTAAAAAAGGGATATTGCTTTGGTAAGAAATGTTGACTTAGAATTGCTAATGAAATATTGTTTTCCATTTTAAAAAGACTATAAACTATATAGAATTTTTATGAAGCTCAAAAACATACAGGAGAAAATAATATACTGTTTAGGGATACGTACACAGAAGTTGTATTTTAAGAGAAAATGAAGGGACTGATAGACATAAAACTGAGGATAGCCGTTCTATGGGGGGAGGGGCGCAGGGGGAGCAAAAGCAGAATCAGAAAGGCTACATCAGCAGTTTTTTTAGTATTGATCATCTTGTAGTTCTTATTACGTTTCAAACTTAGGTATTTGTATATATAAGTATCCTTTGCTACTGATATGTTTTGGTTTCTGAGTTTGGTTGGTAGCAAGAGGTTAGATAACAAGGAATTAATCTAAAAATTACCAGAATATTTAGTTCCTGTGTCTGGGTAGCAAGATATTCCAAATTCTATCTTATATATCAAATATCTTTTTTAAGTGAAAACTTAACCTGGGTCAGGAATAGCGCTTCCAAAGGGGTGTATTTTGTCCTACAGTGGTGCACACAGCACCCAGTGGGTGCCGGGCGCCAGGCTCCATTCAGCAGTCACAGAGTAAATCAAGCCTGTTGCCTGTTCTCTAGGTGCTTGCCAATAGAGATACAATGCAAGCCACGGGCATAATTTTAAATTTTCTAGAAGCCACATTAGTAGCAAGTAAAAATGAAAGCCCAAATTAATTTTTAAATGATATTTTATTTAATTCAGTATATTCGGTATTATCATTTCAACATAAATCACTATAAAGTTCTTAATGTGTTCTTTATCATCAGAAGGAGTATTTGTAATATACTTAAGCTCTGCGTGTTATCAGTTTCATGCTCCTCTTGCGGCTCCTCGGAGCATGCAGGTGGGCTCTCCGTAGCTTGTTAAGAAAACCCTCCACCGCCCCCCCTGCCAGAGGTACACGTGCCCAGGGCTTCCCTGCCGATGTCGTTTACACCGCCTCGGCTTCTAACCAGCTGGGTGTTCCCGCACATCTGTCAGAAGAGACACACTCTGACCGTTGCTGTATGAAAATAGCATCCCATACTTGACACCAGAGAAGTAACACTGTAAACAAACAGAAAAGAAATCTAGATTTCACATGTGCCCTGTTGGCAGGTTAGCTGGAACTGCTGTGTGTTTGGTTCCACTGTTCTCTGTGCCTCTGTCTCTTTGCTTATCTCTTTGTCAGATCTCTGACTGGGCACAGTTGTTATCGTGAGTCAGCTTGTAAACTGAAACTTCGTTTTCAGGTGTGCAGGCAGTGTTATTGATTAGTCACTAAAAATCTATAACTAGGTTACAACCCATTAGGTAAAATAATAAAATACTTGGAAACACCAACAGGACAATCTGTAAACTTATTGTTCACTGCACTGATTTGGCCTGTACTGGTCTGTGTTTTGAAGCAAAATGTACCTCCAAAATAGCTTATGAGATCCAAAATATATTATTTTTGTATATATAAAAGATAATATAATATTTATATATAATATAATAATTATTTATTATATGTATTATAATATATAATATATTTGTGTGTATAAATGTATATTATTTTTTGTATATATAAATTTGTGATCTTTTTCCTGAAATAATTACTTTTGATTACCAGTCTCCAATGTAGTTACTTGCTTTTCTAATTATACTTTTTCTCTTTCAAAATAATGTCTATTTATATACTTTATTTTCATATAGTTTTGAACATACTGGGACTTTAAAGCCATGGGTAACAATTAAGTCTGCTTACAAAAACTTAATTTTATAAAATGAAATAAAAGTACTCAATTCAACTTTTTTAATCTAGATCATTGACAACCAGCAGTGAAGTGGATAAGACTAATGTACTAATAGTGGAAATAAAATACATTAAACTCAAATGGAAAACTGACTCTGTACTCTCCATTCCATCCAGTGTTATACAATTTGTGGTGGATTAGCTCTAAATTTCACTTGGCTTTCCCTTTAAAGCCCCTTCATATTTAACACTGACCAAATTCTTTAAATGCTGAAAAAGAAGTTAAGTCCTACACTCTATTGGAAAACTCTTTTTTTTCAGTTATTTTTCTTTTAGCACTTTAAGGAAATGTACTTTGAATAGAATTCAACTATCTTGGAACCAAATTGACCTTTTCCATCAATTCCCAGATACCCAACGTGGGCCAGCTAAAACAAGCCCTGCAGATGTTAATGGCTCATGTCAATACTGGGAATGAATAGACAGAAAACACATCACTGAATGTCCCTAGTGAGGACAACTGCCAGTCTCCGGTCTCCCCTTTCAGTGTTTTGTGCTGATCAGGCGTGGGAGCAGAGGAGTCGCTGACTGTGTGTAAGCTGCTGTTTAATATGCAGAAATGCTCCATCAGGAAACTGTGTGTAAAGCTTTCGCGGCCACGCCTCTGCTGGGACTCGGACCTCTGGAAATAATACCAGGAGGGGCAGGTCTGAAGTTGCTTTGCTAATAAAGGAATAGTCTGGAACACTATGGGTTTTACAGATTATCTGTGAAAACTGCTTTTCCCATTGCCGTGTTGCCAGGAATGCCACTCTGTGGCTACTTCGTGGCCATAAATTACAGCCAAACAAATAAATACAGATTTGGCAGGTGGCTGAATAAGACGCCTGCTTAACGGTGGCCGCCCAGCAGCCGCTTTAGGTGCACATTGATATGACTGGCTCTTTCTAGCGTAGTTTGTATCCAATTTCTTTGAGACAGCTGACTCCTTCCTACCAAAATAAGATTTTTTTTCTTTTAAATGATTGGTTGCATTCAGATTTTCTGGTAAGATCCCAAAACAATGTGGTGTTTCTAATTTCTAGAAGCTTTGATTCAAGTCAATGAGGTGATATCTTTCCCACACATTGTGCTGGGGTGTGGGTTTCCTGTGAATTTAAATAGTATAGATACCTCTCCAGAGGAACTGATGTCTTCTTTCTGCATCTCTGGTTTTGGCTGAGTCAGAGGAGGGGCTTTTATGTATTTATAGTAGTGTACGTGTTGTTTTATTTAGTGCAAGATGTCTTTCCAATATACCTTTTAACTACAAATTCAGACTAACTTGAAATCAGCCTTCTGGTAGACTTCATTGTTAAAGACCTTCTGTTTTTGAATGTCAAAATGTTTGCAGGAAGGTATAAGGTACTATGTTGGAAGGTGTCTCCTTCTTTAAAAAAAGAATTAGAATACTACCTTTTTTAAAATGCAGGAAGAAAATTTCTAAAAAGTACTCATCTTTCAGTAGGAAAAATAAAAAGGTAAAAATGTATTTATTGCCACCCATTTAAAAGTTTCTGCATTTCTGTCATAAAGCAGTAAATTCATGCATTTTTAAAATAAACTATGAAAAACAAACATGGTTTATTTGCAAATTACTTGGAGTTTGAAACTTTTTGTAAATAGTCATAGATTAAGGGAGGCTCTTTAATTCCAAGCTCATAGTAGCACATTTGAATCAGTGCCTCTGGTTTTTTTACGAAGAAGCTGGGAGATTGTTCACATTTGTGAATATTACTCACACGCAATAAATTTATTAACATAAATTTTTCCATTATTCAGTAATGATGATTGCAGTTGCCTTGAGCTGAGGCACACCCATTAGACTAATTTGCTGTGCACCTAACTTCGGCTTTCTTCAGACCAACAAAGATTAGACTGCGTTTTTATGACTAATGAGGCCATAATTGAAAATTTGGGTTTAAAAAGTCCTTATATTTCCATCATACCCTAGGAAACCCCTGAGAGTTTCTTCGAGTGTAATACTACAGCAGACCACAGGCACCTTCAGAGAGAACATGACCATCACTCAGAGCATCACAAATGTGTATTTACATAATCCACATCTCACAAAGGCCAGACGTGAAAACCCAATAGCAAGTCTGTCTTGTCAATTTATGTATATTTAACACTTAAAAAAAAAAAGAGTAAAGTCAGCAGCACCACCCTAAAGAATAAATTTAAGTTCACACGAAGATGCTGAATTCTTTTCAAGTTTGCATGCACAAATGAATGATGTGGCTCCTTGTTTAGGACAAATGTTCAAATTTTTTCTGTAAATGTATGTGGCAAAGCAAGCAACAACATCAGATTTGTCTCCAGTTTCTGTGCTTTTGTTATTATGGTTGTGCATGTGTGTTACAACCCTAACACAATTTGGGCTTATTTTTCATGTGCTACTGCTACTTTGTTTTTGTTTTTGTTTTTTTCATCGCATGAAGTAAACATTCATTTGTTTATCCATGCTCAGTCATTCCTTTCCGCTATAAAAAGGAGAAAGATCAATGTGGGTGCAGAAACTGTTCATGGGGAGGCCCGCCTGGGTACATATTGATAAATGGTGAATTTGTAGCAATTCATGCTTCCATAATGAGGTTAAATGAAACGTGAAGTGTAGCGAAGTCCCTGCAACTCCAATTCAAAAATTCACTTGACGGGCATGTCGAGCCTGCTTTCCTCTAAACAGGTTTTTTGTTGTTTTTGATGTTTTGGTTTTGTGTTTGTGTTTATGTAATCTCATTGCTGGGCCAGCTTTTTGCTCTTCCAGGTCAATGTGATTTTAATTACATTTTAAATAATGTAGGAATTATTGATTTACTAATATCACTCTAAGCTACCATTTGCCTTAAACATATTGGGTAAAATCTCTCTATATTCCCTCTTAATTTTGTATCCAACATTAAGATTCGGTTTTTAAGAGAATTACAAAATATATAACATTATGCTCTATAAAAATCTATTTTTATCAAAGCATAAATCTGTTATAAAATATTTTAACATATAAATTTATATTTCATATTCTGATGGCTGTAATTATCAAGAACTATTTTAAAAGTCCATATACTTTGACCCATTAATTCTACTTTTAAGATTTCATCCTGAAAAAAAAAAAACCACAGAAGCAAACGAACAAAAACAAAGAGGCACCAAGGACATTTTTGGAGGTGGTGTTATGTCTGTCATCTTGATTATGGTGACGGTTTCACAGGCACACATATATATTCAAACTCGCCAAGGTGTATACATTAAATGTGTGTGGTTTTTTGTATACCAATTATATTTCAATAAAGCTGCCTTTTATTAAATAAAAGAACTCATTCTAGAGAAATAGAAATGTGTGGGACTTCTGTATACGAATATTCAGTTCAGAATTATATATAATAGCAAAAACTGCAACTGAGCTAAATATCCAGACATAGTTATAGCCCTCTATAGATATCATACATCCATTCACATCATGTTAAAGGCTACGTAACAACTTAAGAAAATGTGTGTTACGTGATGTTAAGAGGCAGGGAAGCAGGACACGGCACGATCCACATCCAGCAGGTTTCCTGTCAGGTCAGTTTCTGAACTTGTATAAATGAACTATATGACTACCGTTAACACAGAAGAAAAAAATGATGATGGTATTATTGCCGGAAGTTATTTTACGTTCTAAATAAACATGTGTTATTTTATAATAAAAAAAAACAATAATCTTCAAATAACTATCAGGACATATTTTAAAAGGGAAATAAAGTTCTAAAAATTTAATGGCATAAAACATAGTCCCTGAAGGGCCTTTTAAAAAATGAGATTATATTTAAACTTTCTAAACCTATGATTGCCTAGTGATGTTGTTGTTTTTTTTATTCAACAAGTGGAACCAATTTTGACTTAAATAACAAGATCCTTCATGAAAGCTTCCTTCAAATTAAAAAGTAAAGCAAAGAAATGCCATTTTCCAGACAGGCATGCACATATTAGGCTGTTATGCAGTGTTGAGTACACAACAAATTCAACACAATGCACTCGTTTCTGTGTGTTCTAATTGGGGGGTTTTGGGGCTTTCTTTCTAGATCTGGTTCGCCTTCGTTAATGGCTTTTCGGGACAGATCCTCTTTGAGAGATGGTGTATAGGTCTTTATAATGTGGTAAGTTTGGGACCTGCAGCTTTTCCTGTTTTACCCAGCACTTTGGGATGAAGGTTCACCCTCCCTCCGGCTGCTTGATGTAATGACCTGTGTGTGCCCTTCAGATGTTCACAGCAATGCCTCCCTTAACTCTCGGGATCTTTGAGAGATCGTGCAGGAAAGAGAACATGCTGAAGTATCCCGAATTGTACAAAACATCTCAGAACGCCCTGGACTTCAACACCAAGGTAGGGTTCGATGTCCCGGTGCATGTGGGCACAGGGGTCTCGCTTTACTGCTCTGATCGCTTGGGGCATCTGGTCCTCTTCCAAAGTAAAAGAAGCAGCTCCAGGGTGTCGACCCTGGCAAGGCAGATTTGCCTAAGGTTCAGATACAGACTGATAAAATATTGGTGCATTTTGTTATAAAATGAAAATGTAACCACGATTCACTGGGATTCGCCAGGCAGCAGGAAACTGGGTCTGACAGACAGCCGGGAGTGTCTTTGTGGCCCTGACTTGACTGTCTGTCTTGGCAGCGCTGTGGGGAAGTGGCCACCGTTCACAGGGGTCAGTCATCCAAGACAGGCAGGGACGGTCTTTACATGTGCACGGTGGCTCAGGGCGACAGAGCGTTCTCTGTTACTTCGCAGTTGTGGGAACTGACTTTGTCCTTATTAGAATACTAAATTGTTTGTACTGAACATTAAAAACTATAGTCTCTGAAACATAACTCACTTAGTCAGCATTCTCAGTATTTCCAGGCCATAAAATTTAAAATACAAGATCAAATACCCACCATTTTATCTACAATCGTGTTCTGGGTTTACATCCGGCCTCATGTGGCACGGGCTGTTGTTACGTCCTGATCCGTGGGGTTGGTTCATCCCAGCAACAGAAACTGCTCACTTTCCGCACAGCTTCCTTTTCTGAAAGTGTTCCCAGTCGCATTTTCTAGTAATTCTGGTTTCAGATTAGTATGAGGAAAAAAACTTCTAATTTTCTAACAGCCGAAATAGATGCCATTGGGAAACTATAATAAAAGTAACAAATATAATACATCTTCCCTGAATTTTTCCTATTTAATATAGTCTATGTTTGTTAGCATGTCGGTAATAATTATATGTGACCTCGATTCAGTGTTTTGAATTTAGGACAGTTAGTGTAGGATACTTTAAATATTTATTAATTTTTAAAGCTCTTGAAGGACATTTCCTCTCAGGATACCAAGAGAATAAAATGAAACAGGTGTTGCGGTGCCTCTAACCTCATGCCATAAATGTCAGTGTTGAGTGTACGGCCAGGATGTTACTCACCTTCTGAGATCAAGTCTTCATGAACGCGCTGTGCATGCACGTCCAGGTGTGCGCATATGCACGACTTCGAGGCATTATTTTAAATCCCTGAATTTGGTTAATTAAAAGAAAACGAAGCATTCTTGGACTTAGACCATTGGTTCTGAAAAGTATTTCTATTAGTCTCTTAAAACTATTGCTATTTATGATATGCAATGTCTATGCTTCTATTTTTTAATGTTTTCATTCTGGATGTTTTAAACTTATTTATGAAACCCAATTTGTATTAAATTCCACCACCTTGCCATCATGTTTTCCATTACCTATGGTGGGTATTTCCAAATGGCAGGCCACAGTGGTCTGTGAGCCGAGGAGGTGACCTGAGAGCCAGGAATGATCCAGACGTGCTGGTGTACTAACAGTAACTCTCGATGACCTAGACTGTTGTATCAACCTCAGCCCCAGGTCCTGAAACTACTGTGACTTAGGCACCACAGTGCTCTCTAGAGAGTTAACTTCTCAGCCGCAAACTTGGCCATGGGACTCTCGCTTATCACCACAGCTTCTCACAGGATTACTCAAAGCCAGTCCTAGAAAGGCACATCCTTTCATGCCCTTTGCACGTCGCAGTGTCGACATGGTTTTGTGGCCAGGGAGAAAGTGTAGCAGGTAGTATAGTTTTAATGCGGATGCATCCATCCTTGCAGACTTTACTATTTTGTTGTTGTTGTTGTTCATAAAGTATCTCACTGCTATCAGAGCCCATGCATCACCAAAAATCAGCAGATCAGTCCAAATAGACTACACAGGGCTGGGCAAAATGAGATTCACAGTTGTGAGTCCGCTGGAGATTTTTCTTGTTGTATTTATCTTATCGTTTATCTTCCTCTATATGAATAGCTGTAACCTACTTTTGCCCACCCCACTACTTTGGTATCTATTTCAGTATTTATATATGCAGGGGCTGCCCACCATTTTTTAAATAGGGTGTATGGATCTTTCTAATGATTTCAGTGAAAATTCTTTGATTAAATCCCATGGAAGTATTTTAAAATTCAGGGACAAATGGCTACAAAATGCAGAGTTGTACACCCAGCGGTTGCTGTGGGTCCCCAGTGGAGAGGCATTGTCACCCTGAATGACGATGATTACGTTTGTTATGGTAAAAAGGGTCGGAGGTTCGGAGGTCATGACAGGGGTTAAAGGATTAGCATGTGACAATAAGTAGCGGTCAGGAAAATGGAAAAGTAGAACTAATTTTTCTTGCACCCACCTGTGCTTTCTGTCAAATAAAAACTTGTGGTAATGACATAGTGAGGGGAAGAGACAAAGGTTAATGAGTAACACAAGTTCAAATGTGTAATGTATTGGAGCGTAAATTGGATCATACAATCCAGTGTGGCTGTGTGAACTAACAAAGGAGATTGAGATCACAGTGGAAAATTTTGGGAGGCAGGCAACTTAATTTCTGTTGTTTGAACAGCTTAAAACTATTAATACATGACAGTTTTATTTAGCATAAGTTTTGTTTGCAAGAATCACTTTTAAATGACAAACTGCAACTGTTCAAAGGGCCATAAGAATTCTAAAATGTTCCTATAAATTAATCCTTCATATTCAGGTTACAAAGCAAAAGAAAGTGCCAGTGGTGCTTGCTCTCTTGCTCTTAAAATACAATTGATGTCGAAAGGAATAACTATTAAATGATATTATAATTGTGCAAAGTTTGATGTTGACAGGCGTTAAAAATTATGAAAGCCTTTTATAAATTCAGTTATATTTTTACTTAGTACAGTGCTTTACTAGGGAATGATACAATTTAAATGTAATACCAGCTAGTTTTAGTATATAATATGTGACTATATATACATAAACACACACATATATGGAGAGAGAGAAAGAATACGAATGCATTATATCCTTACCATCAAAAAGTGTATACTTCTACAGCACATGAGAAAGAGAAAGTAAGGATATCACCCAGTGCGATCTTTCCAAAAGTCTCTTCTTCTGATATTATGAAAATAGTCCCAGTCAAAAGAATTCCAGGATCTGCATTATCTTACACTTTTTTTCTTCTTTAGCAGAATTTTAAATGTTTAATGCTTGGTTTTAAAAGGTAGAAAAAAATGTCAGTGAAGCTGGAAAAACATTTTGAGAAACATAAAAATGAATAAATGACCCATGAAGGTCTAAGAGGCAGAAAGTGCCTGTCAGCTCTATGAATTCACAGTGGTGGCCCAACGGAGGCGCGTTTTGTGAATCTAGCTCCCGGATAAAAAGAAAGGTCAGAGTTCACGGAGCTAGTTGATCGCAAGTGGTTCTCATGGATTTTTGTTTTCCCTCAGGTTTTCTGGGTTCATTGTTTAAATGGCCTCTTCCACTCAGTTATTCTGTTTTGGTTTCCACTAAAAGCCCTTCAGTATGGTAAGTAGAAAGGATATGAATGCTAAGAGATGACTTTTTACTTTTTTTAGAAAAATAATTCATTGTCGATATATGTTAAAAGTTATGGCAGTGTTTCATTATATGGTATTCCTTAACCTAAAATACATGCATCCAAAAGTCATACGCACTTTGAAGATTTTTATTATTCCTTTGGGAGCCAAGTGATTTAATATATGCAAAGCCTTTCTTCTCTACTTCTCATGTTTTCCCAACTTGCAGAGAATTAAATTTTAGGGCTTTTTTGGTCCTGTGTTGATGTATTGTTTGAAGAAAATAGTGCTAATATTTTATTACACCTATGAGGCTTGTATCACGCTCTCTATACTGAACCTAATCAGACATGCTGATATTTTCAAGTAGACGGGAGCTGCTGTCTTGAATGAGTGTTTCAATCTGTTTTTATGTTCATCTTGGAGCGTAAGCTTTTTCTCTGCTTCTTTTAAGGAAGTGGTGTTATTCTGTCAGTTTTGAAAGGTAGGATCATGGTGAATTTCCTATATACATAAAAATGATTAAGTAGCCACTTTAGAAAAAGACTCTGCGATGCTTAAGCTGGTGCTGCTAGCAGACCTTGCCTTAAGATTCTGAGGAAGACAGCCGACCATCCGGTGCCTCTGCTCCGGAACTATAGTGATTAAAAACTCCACCCAAGAATTTGTCAGCTCCTTGATGGTACAGACCATGCCTCCCTGACTGTGAGTTAATGATTGCCCACAGGAGACAGGGCGGACCTTGCGTCCTTGCCCACCTACAGTCGATTCTCCTCAGGCAGCCAAAGTGGTCCTTGTGATAAGTGCATCTGACCAGGTGCCTCTGTCCTCAAAAACCCACACACTGCCCTGCCTGGGTGGTTCATTTGGTTGGAGCATTGTCCTGTACACCAAAAGGTTGCAGGTTCAAATCCCGGAAGGGCACATACCTAGGCTGCAGGTTCCATCCCCGGTCAGGGAGTGTACAGGAGGCAAACAATCTCTCTCCCATCAATAAACATATCCTCGGGTGAGGACTTTTTAAAACACCCACAGACTTCTATCACACTGAGAACAGAATCCATAGCCCCAACCTTGGCTGGCTCCTCCATCTGACTGCCCCCCACGGTCCCCCTCCCTGTTCCCCCTGCTGGCCCCCGTGCACTTCCTCACTCTGCACCCTGACAGCCCTGCCGGCTCACCCCCTCACTCCCCAGGTCTGTGCTCAGAGAGGCCGTCTCAGGTCCCCTTTATCCAAAAGAGCCACCAACACTGTCCTCACTGCTTCTGTCCCTCCATCCCCTTGTCGTCTTGTATCTCCTTCACGATACTTGTCTAGCAAGGTCTGATATCTCTGCTTATTTCTTATTGTCTTCCTCCTCTGTTAGAACGAGAGCTCCAGAGAGTTGGGAAGCTGTTCATTTAGTGTCCTGTTGTAGGTACGGTACTTAAACCAGAGCCCGGCTCTGTGTAGACACTCAGAACATCACAACGAGTTAGTTAGCGAGAGCCTGCGACAGAAGGTGGCAGTTTCGTGTCCTCATCAGATTTTTTTTTATTATTTTATTGACGTCAGAGATTTTTATCTCGTGCCTTTATTCATTGCTTTGCCAGTACAGAAGTAAATACCACTCATTTTTTAGGCCATGGAAATAAGTGTGGCAAGAAATCTGATTAAAGTATAGAATACTGACTCCACAGGCGAGGAGAACCACAATGGGATTTTTTTTTCTTGACATACAATTCACATACCATAAAATTCACCTTTTCAAATTACATGATTCAGTGGTTTTTAGTATATTCACAGAATAGTGCAAATATCACCACTATCTAATGCCAGAACATTTTCATCACTCCATAAAGGAAACCCCATACCCATTAGCAGTCACTTCCCACTTCTCCCCACCCTCCCCCAAGGCCCCGGTAACCACTACTTTTTATCTCTGTGGAGTTTTCTGCCCTAGGCCTTTCATATAAATGGAAGCATGTGATGTGTGGCCTTGGTCTACCCATGTTGCAGCGTGACTCAGTACTTCATTCCTCTTTGTGGCTGAAAAACATTCCATTCGACGGCTCTATCGTGTTTTGTTACCCAGTTACCGGTTGATGGAGAGTTGGATTACTTTTTGGAGCTATGGGATATTGAAAGCCAGGGTACAATTTAGGATTCCTTGACCTTAGACAAGTTCTCCAGTTAAAGTTTATTTTTTCAAGTAAGCTTACTTATTCACATACTTCAGCAGTTCTCAAAGTACAGTCTGTAGACCCTTGGGAATACCGAAGACCTTTGGGTGGTCCAATAGGTCCATGAGGTCCATAAAGTCAGAATTTCATAGCTTCACATTTTTTATATTATCAAGACATTATTCATCTTTTTCACTGCTGACACAAGAGCAGTGGTGAGTAAAACTGCTGGTATTTTGGCACAACAGATGCCAATGTACTCACAGTTGTCATACTCCTCATTGCCAAGTACCCACACTTAAAAAGCCACTAAAAAGGTCAGTTTCACTTTAAGAGTACTCTGGAAGATACTCTAAAACTAGTACTTTTATTAAGTCTCTACACTTCGTACCTATCTGATTCATATTCTGTGTGACAACATGGGAAGTACGCCTGAAGCACTTCCACTGGGTACCAAAGTGCCACAGTGTGTCAGGGTCAAGAGCCTTGTGGACCCTTGGAGCTGTGAGCTGGGGTTCCAGTGTCATGCAGGGTAAAAGATCCATGCTGAGTGCCAAGTGGACCAATGCACTTTAATGTAAGAGACTACCCAACATCCACCCTGCAACTAACCTTTAAGGAACTGTCTCTACCTCTTTAAGAAACTGCCTGTTGAGTTTTGATCTGCTACCAAAGAAGGCCCAATTATTGGAAAAGATTGCTAAAATACTCCCCGCCTTTATAACTATCTCACTGGGAAGTTAGATTTCCCTTATATTTTCAGAAAAACAATGAGAATTTGGTTGAGTTCTATTAAACCAGATACTAAAGAGATTTTTTAAATGTAAAACCATGCCTATTTTTTCCTTTTTTTCATTTTGGAAAATAATTATTTTTCATAAAATTTATTATTCATAGTACGATTTATTGGGTTAGTTACTGTTATTTTTAAACATATCAGTACATATTTTTAAACATTCTGTCTTAATTTCTAATTTGGTAACTATAGCTAGAAATTTCATAAACAAAGCTTTTGGGCACCCTCAATAATTTTTAAGGCTCTTAAGGGTCAAGAGACCAGAAAATATGAGAATGAATGATTCACCTGAATCATCCATATGCTATACCTGACAAACCCAAAAGGAGGCTTTTTTTTCCCTCAATGTGATTTTGAAATGCATTTCTGTTTTCCTTGTGATGAACCAATGGTGATTAGAAGGCTTAGTTGGGCCCAACTATGATTATTTTTGATAACTTGCTTACATTGGCTGAGGGAGCTAACCAAAGTAATCAGCAGAGGTAATCAAGATATTTTCAGTTATTTTAGAGATTTCTGAGTTTGTTGATTTTTTTAATGGAAATTTGCAGATTAATTGCAAACGTTTGCAAGTTCGTCTGCAACATACCCACAAGACGTAGCACAGCAGACCCTACGCCCATAATCAGGGCATCCCCCCATAGAGAAAGGTGGTCTCCTGGATGTCTGGGCTCCTGACAGGCAGCCTCTTTGACCTGAACGCTTTAGAGAGGGACGGGTCGCATTCTGGAACATCCGCCATGTGCCAGGCATCCTGCTTGGTCCTTTACATATGTCACCTCATTTTAACCAAAAAGGCCTGATAGGTAGGGAGTCTCACCCCATATTTCACGTGAAGAAACCGAGTTCCACGGAGACTGAATATGAATTACCCAGGAGGACCCAAGAGGACAGAACCAAACTTTGTGCCTCCGACGCCCACCCGTCTCACCTTTCTCTCCCAGCACTCCTCTCCCTGAATCAGCCCCCACTGCAGTCTAACGTGTTGTGTTCTTACATATCAGGCTTTGAATAAATACTATCGACTGTGTGTATGTATCAAATATTGTTACACATACTATGGGTTTTAAAGTGTTCGGTGATACCAATGAATTATTCAGTTATTTTTTTTATTTTAATGTGATTTTTTTTACATCAGTACTAGTGCTTTTACACGTGAGCTACCACTCCCTTCATCTAAAGCCACGTTCATCCGTTACTACTGGAATTACGAAATACCTATGCTATCGCCCTAAATTGAGCGAGATCCTCTGAGAGCCGTACGCCTGGAATCATGTGGTGCCCCTCAGCTGTCTGTGGGTTGCTCTTATGAGTCCCTTTGGTCCAATGCCAAAACTTTATCAAGAGATAATAAGAAGGCCCCCTGAGCCCCTTGTTGGCGTTGTGATCAGAGCTCTCTGCTGAGGGCTCAGAGGCCTCCCCCGTCTCAGCGCTCAGAGCATCGAGCCTGACTTGAACAGTCAGTTTCATTTTTCCCTAATCTCACGGACCCTGAGGGCTGGTTAGTAAGTCAGGTTCCCTTCTTCATATTGGCTACTGGAAATGTGTTTTTAACGTGTGACCCCGATTTCTAGTAACTTTGTGAGACTCCTTACAATATTTTTTAGCCTTATTTCTAGCTCCGTCGTGTGTCCCTTAGCTTCCTTTGTTGATTCACTACTTCTGCGTTGATTTACCTTTAAAAGGATTCTCAAGGGAACGCTTCCTTTTTTAAATATATTTTATTGATTATGCTATTACAGTTGTCCCATCTGTTGCTCCCCTTTATTCCCCTCTGCCCTGTACCCCACCCCCACCATCATCCCCCGACCTTAGTTCATGTCCGTGGGTCATACATATAAGTTCTTTGGCTTCTACATTTCCTATACTATTCTTAGCCTCCCCCTGTCTACTTTCTACCTACCATTTATGCTTCTTATTCCCTGTACCTTTGCCCCCATTCTGCTCCTCCCCCTCCCCACTGATAATGCTCCATGTGATCTCCATTACTGTGATTCTGTTCCTGTTTTAGTTGTTTGCTTAGTTCATTTTTGTTTTTTTAGGTTCAGTTGTTGATAGTCGTGAGTTGTCATTTTATTGTTTGTATTTCTGATCTTTTTCTTAAACAAGTCTCTTTAATATTTCATGTAATAAGAGCTTGGTGATGATGAACTCCTTTACCTTGACCTTTTCTGGGTAGTAGTTTATCTGCCCTCCCATTCTAAACAATAGCTTTAGATGATAGAGTTATCAATCTTGCATATAGGCTCTTGCCCTTCATGACTTCGAATACTTCTTTCCAGCCCAGTGAAGGGAACTCTTTCATTTTCTCTTCTAACGTGCCTCTCTTTCTTTGCATGCAGGTACCGTGTTTGGAAACGGGAAAACCTCGGATTATCTGCTATTGGGAAACTTTGTTTACACTGTGAGTGCAGGACACTTGCCTAGTTTGCATGTAAAGTGAAATCCATTTGTATGTGCTCATTTTATTTTCAGATTTAAATGCATGCATTTCTGGATTTAAGAGTTGGTTGCGCTTCACTTTAAGAATAAAATGAGATGTTTTGATTAGTAAGAGATTATTATATACTAGCTTATCAGACTGTCATTTAGGTTCACTGGCTTTATAGGACTCTGGTTGCTATTGTTTTCATTATTCCCTCTTTACTCATATTACCCCCTCTTTGCCCTGTTCTCTTCCTTCTCCCTGTCCCCTCAGTTTTATTGTACTGTCCTTGTTAACACTTTTATGCTTTTACTATTATTCATGGATTATTCTAGAGTCTCGTGATAACTATAATGGGAAAGAAGTCTCCACTCTTTGGGGACATTTCACCAACATCACATTCCCATCGCTGCAAACTACGCAACGTGCCCAGAGTTCCCTTCACTGCTAACAGTGTTTGAAATTTCATTAATAATAAATAGATGATAATAGTAGATGCTAAGCACTGTTCTTGGTGTTTTATACTCAAATCCCAATAGGGGGTCTTATCAATCCCAGCTTACAGATGAAAGAGCTGAGACACAGAGATGTCGAGTAACTTACCTTGTTCCTTAACCAAAACCACTAATAAATGATGGAGGCTTAAGCCGAAATGGTCTGACTCCAGGCCAAGTCTACTTAACCATTAGCTGTCCTATGGAAAAGAGGGAGGTCTGTTAAACCTGGTTCCCTTACTTCAGAATGAGTAGCACAGTCACCGACAGTGATGAGTGGGTGTTTACATCATATAACAAGCTCTTATATCCTGCTCCGAGGAGTTTCAAATAAGTAGGGTTACAAACTAAGTCAAAGTAAGTGTTTAGGTTTCTAAATATCCAGTTATATTACTTTTAGAATTTTCTTTAAAATTCAGAAACTAGGGGCCCTAAATATTAAAGATGATACAAACAAAATTAAAGCAAGCTTTAAAACACAAGTTCCTACAGATGTCGCCTCCATCACCATTCCTGAAGTGTCCAAAAGCAGGCAGACACATGCCCCAGACCGCACGGATGGACTGGAAGGCTGTGGGGGAGGCGGGATGTGGTGCTACCCAATGAGCAGCAGTTCTGGTCAGTCACGATCATACCATTCAGCCGCCAGCTAGTTCACTCAATTCTTTGCTTGTTACACGTTCAAGGTTCTGTGAACAATCTAGTTCAATCATCTACTTCAGAGATACCTGTTCCTTATAAATATCACTTTCAGTCATTCTACAAACTATCATTATTTACTTAAAAATAACATTTTCCCTTCTGTTGCAGTTTGTGGTGATAACTGTGTGTTTGAAAGCTGGATTGGAAACATCTTATTGGACATGGGTAAGCGTGTCTCTAATTGCAACCAAGAAATATCACGTTTACTTATATGTTATTGACACTTTTTTGTAGTTTGTATTCTGACCCTATGGATCCTTTAACCCTAGTTCATTCTAGAGGTTGATAATTGCGGTGGGCCAGGGATGGAGGAGGTAGAACCAGGGATTCTAGTTTGGAAACACTGAGTAAAGCAAGTTTATTTGCCAGAAGACTTCTTAGACCCCAGAAAGGGGAGAAGCTTTTAAACTTTCTGGCAAGGAAGCTTTTCTTTGTAGAATGTGTCACGAGACGGGCATTTGGAAGAAAACCCATTGCAAAATGATTCCGGAGATTAATAATAATATTAGCAAAAGATTTGTCCTCAGACAGTTGTAAATATCCAGTATAGATAAAGCAAGTTCCATTTTAGATACCTTTGTGTTGAAGTATATTCACATCCAGGTAGAGAGACCTAGTAAACAGGGAAGGAGGGAAGGAAGGAAGAGAGGGAGGGAGGGAGGGAGGGAGGGAGGGAGGGAGGGAGGGAGGGAGGGAGGAGAAAAGAAAATTTAAGTTTGATACTCAGGGGAAAGACTGGCACTAAAAATTTGGATTTGACTGCTGTGAGTATACACATAGTATTCACACAAGTGTCTGACACCTTTCAGGGAGAACATGCCCAGAAAAAATCAAGGAGGCCCAAAGCTGGTAGGAGATTACAAAAATAAGAGTAGAAGAAGAGAGACCCACCAACAGAGGTAGAGAAAGACCAGTCCCAAATGCCAGCACCACAAGCATCGTAACTGTTATGCAAAGAGATTAGCACTTAATGAAAGATCCAGTTAAAACAGAGGCCAAATTATTTGGAAATGCCCATAGATAATATTTTATGGATGTAGTAAAAAATTAATAAGGGAATTTGTGAAAGCTTTATTCGTGTCTGTGTACTCCGTCTACCTGAAAGTCATTTGACTCCAATTCCCTTCCTTCACAGTTCAGCCACATAGCGATCTGGGGCAGCATCGCACTCTGGGTGGTGTTTTTTGGAATCTACTCATCTCTGTGGCCCGCTGTTCCGATGGCCCCTGACATGTCAGGAGAGGTAATGCACCCTAATAATTCACCATGCCACAAGCCTTAAACATTAGTATTCATTAATGAACCTGAATTGTTCGGCTTGGATTTATCGTAAAACAGAGCATTTGACCATTTAAAAGCTATTCTTAAATTCCGCAGTTGTAATAAATCTTGAGGGAATATTTTAAACTTGGACACTTTACTTAAATCGGACTTAGCCTATCGTAAACATCATGAGGACAATAAAATATGGTTGTCAGAAGTGTGAATCATGTTACAAATATCCATATAGAAAATGCCGTTTTAAAATTAGAGCATAAATCCACAAATACATTTTGCATGAGAGATTTGGGGAAATGGTAGGCTTATGTCTGTGGGACAGTCTATCATTTCTTCTGTTATCTCTGATTCTAAAGAAAAGTCGGCTGTCATTAGATTAAATGCACTTTTAGGGTTGTCTTAATGACATCAGTTTGGTTTCCATGTTGAAAGAGTGAGGGCATCTGACATTTCAGCCTTATCGTCGTCCATTTTCAGTCCTGCCTTTCAGCTTCTTGTTGCACTAGTAGGAATTGAGTTATTAGGTGTTCATGGGGGAATGTCACGAGATCGCCTTTCCTTCAGAAGAGATTCCAGCAGTAGGAGGGTTTATGATTTCAATTGCAGGAAATTTGACATAAAATGTATAAAAGAAAATGTGGAAAACATTTCAGGATTTCCTGTGACCTCACAGTAACTTGCAAATCAAGGTAACGTGAGCCCCTTCACCGTACATTGTTTTCCCAAAGTCACAGGAAACCTTCCCAGTGGTTTCATGCATTTGTGGCCCCTAAGTGCTGCCGGAGCACCTTTCACTTTTGACAGTCTGGTTTGTAGATCATGTTCGTGAAATTTTATCTGACAGCATCCTGCTTTTTATAAATTAGCAGAATGCAGACACATTAAAAAATTTTTTTCATGGTTAAATTTATTAGAGAGACATTATATACTATTACAGCAAAACCAGGCATATCAAAGAGCATGCACTTCCTTCCACCAAAAGCAAAGGCTTCTACTGGAACCTGTGCTATGAACTCTAGAAAATTGACGGCACGTATTTTGAGAACAGAGAAAAGAATGTGCATGCATCTCCTTCTCACCTTGGTTTCTGAGTCCACTTGTCCTGAAGAAATAAAATCAAAGACTGTATGTGCCACTTGAAAACTCCAGTTCTATTCTTTCTTTTTATTTGATGTGCTCTGTCTCTTTGGACCTGCTGTTTCCTCGAGGTCAATTCCAACTTAATATCTTTTTATTGGCCTAATTTTATCTCATTTTGTGATGTTTTATCTTCAAAATGGATGACACAAAAGATTTTGAGATCCAGATGGTTTAAGCAACTGTAGCCAATAGCTTCAATGACAAGAATGGAGTTTTTGTCCACCTACTTCTATGACAAGTGTGAAGTTTGATTGGCTTTTTGCCAACCAAATATAATTCTACCCACGCCTATAGAGAATTCCCAGTATTAACCAAACACAAAACTTAATCTCATCTCTTGAGATTTGTGGTGTTGCTGTGTTTAATTCGGAGGGAATGAATGTCCGTATTCCATCACGTTTCTCTTCATGTCACATACAGAGGGGAGTGCTAACAGGGGTTCTTTTCCTCAGTATTTTATTACTACTGATACTTTGAATATAATGTTTAAATAGTTTGCTCCACTGAAAATGTGAAAATAGATTAATCAGCATTAGGCTTGACTAGCTTGTCCAAAATGTGTCTGTTTGATTTATTCAAAGAAAAGAATAATGCTTGCAATTTATGTAGTTCTTTTTAGTGCTTGAAAAGCATTTTGATATATATGTGTGTGTATGTGAATGAGTCTCACAGTAACTGCAGAAAAAGAGGGTGGTGAGAATGCCACTCGAATTCTCAGGGGTAGCTATTCCACATTCACTGTTTCCTGGGCACTGGAGTAAAAGGTCCCCAAAAAGGTTTATAGCAATACTCAATTTTTGAACACTTTTCTTATATGTAGAGAATCACTAGTTCTGTTACAATCCCTTAGGTTCATATTTTTCTAATCTTAAAACTATATTTTAATCAAAAGTATAGTTACATGCATACATATATGTACATATATGTGAAGAATTTATTTATATTTGTGTGTGTGTGTGTGTATAATTGTCCAACCATCTTGAATAAAATTTGGTGATTCATCTGTTAACTTCCATGGCAAGTACCATTGTAATACATTTATTGCACATATAGTATCTATTACATATTATGTATTATATACAGTATAGTACTATTATAATATGTGTACTACATATACAATAATATAATTTATATTGCCCTGGCTGGTGTGGCTCAGTAGATTGAGTGCCAGCCTGAGAACCAAAAGGTCACCAGTTCAGGCCACATACCTGGGCTGTGGGCCAGGTCTCCAGTTGGGAGCATGTATGAGACAACCAGTTGATGTATCTCTTGCACATTGACGTTACTCTCCTTGTCGTTCTCCCTCTCTTCCCCGCTCTCTAAAAATAAATAAATAAAATCTTTAAAATAATAATAAGATATAGTCTATATAGCAACAAATGTATTCATGCAATAATACGAAGATGAATATAAATATTAGCATTTCTTGACTTGACAGGCTCCCCACAGAGCCTTGCAGCTTTTACTCACGGTGAGGTCAAGAGCCGTGGGAGGGAACTGAGAGAGAGGTCTCATGGTCTGACTTAGGTGTTCGCAGCAGGACCCTCACTGCTGTGTAGGGAACACTTGTGAGGGTGTCCCAATAACCAGGTGGGAGATTCTGAACCTACTTTGCAGGCAGTGAAGCCGAAAGGATTTGTCGGCAGACTGGCGGTGAGGAGTGAGAGGACGGGTCAAGGCAGACTCCATGGCTTCAGCCACAGACATCATTAGATATGCTTGTCCTCAACACTCTGCATCCCACAGCAAACTGGTTGTTATCACCCTGTTACAGATGAGAAAACGTACACAGAGAAGTGAGGGACCTCGCGGACATCCCCCTAACACTAAGTGACAGGCGAGAACCTGACTCAGCTGCCTGGTCCCAGAGTCCGCTGCCTTATGCACTGGGCCCTGCACTCTCTGATCACAGTCGTTTGAGGAACCCGTGGTAGGTCGTCTGCACGTCGGACATCTGAAGGGCCTAGCCCTCCTTGCAGGGATTTCAGGGATTTGTGTAGAAGGGGAAACCTCTGCTTTCTGCCTTCCTGACGGCACTGCCTCCTCCACATTGCTTCTGTCTCTAGGCATTTCGGTGGTCTCACTCTTCCTCAGTCTGCGCTCCTCTTCCGAGCCACAGTGATGGTTCCGGCATGCTTACAGCCCTTCCCAAGTGTCCACTGCCGCTCCATTCTTCACTCATTCACTCCAGCCTAGAGGTGTTGGGCTCCCACTGCCCTGTAAATAAGCATTAAGTAAATGATCATTAAATAAAATTTTTTGCTTGCTTGTTTGTTTTGAAGAAATGAGAAACAGTGGAGTAGGGGTGACAGAGAGCCAGATTTCAGCTCAAATAGAACATCTTTCTAACATACGGAGATCCACATGCAGCAATTTCCAGCAGCAGAACAGGATGCTGGTCTCACTTAACCAACCCTTTCTGTGCTGGCCAGCCACTAGTGATTCTTAGGAAGAGCCTTATTTGTCTACACCAGCAATTTTCAACCTTATGCATCTCATGGCATGCAGAAACTACTTACTAAAATTTTGCAACACACCAAAAAATGTATTTTTGCCAATATGACAAAAACAGATATTGTTTTGATTGATTGTGATGAAAATTACGCATGTCACCCAAGGACATGCTGTACATTAGTAAAGTGAATCAGGTGCCTATGCTTGTATATAAGGCTTTCTGGTACCAATATTTAACCTATCAGATGCAACCTTATTATGGGACGTGGCCAGTAAGATGCAGCTCCATTATGTGACCTACATATTTATGGTTCAAGACTGGGCATTCATACCAGATGGCTATTGTTGTGTTTGCTAATGTCATTTTTGGATTTGACATTCTAAGGGAAAAGAGGTCAGTGCCCCTGACTAAACAGTCAGGTCCTGCAGGTTTTAAAAATTCTTGTGGCACACCAGCTGACCGTCGCTGGTCTGCACCCCCGAGGTGGCCTGCCGAGTCCTGAGATCCAGGTTCCCCGTGCTACTCTTCACTGTGTCCTCCCCAGAGGCACATCTTACATACTGATCAGACACAGACTGTCTTGCTCTGGTTAACAGGATCTCAGGGTGTGAATGATGCACAAATCAGGCATCTTATGGGTACAGGTGTCATGCTTCTATATTTGGCTGGGTGCATATTGACGCCCAGATCTGTTTTTTTCAGTCATTTCCAGTTTGCATTCTTAGTTCATCTTTGCCGTTCCTGTCTGAAGACAGAGCCCTTTCTCTCATCTTAGCTCTCTGAGGAGGGAGGGAAGAGAATCACCATTTGTTGCGCAGCCACCATGGCCTGGAGGCACTGTGTTTGGTCCCAGGCAGTCCTTGTTTCCTGTCAATCCATATTATTACAGACCTTCCTGGTAAGCAAAGCAAGGGGCCCAGAGAATTTGTCCCAGGTTTTTTGTTTGTTTTTTTTCAGTTCCCATTGGTTTTCTCCAGCACCCTGAGGAGCTAAACACTCTGGAGTGGGGGACATTGCTAGTCCTGTTTCCCAGATGGGAACTCTTTCTTCCTTGTTGCAACCATCTTCCTTGCATTGATTTCCCTGCTATTTCCCTAAGTTAGCCAGGTAGCGAGGTGTTCCCATCTCTTTCTGAAAGTGCCCAGATTTTCAATTCTCCCTCTTCAACACCCACCTAACTCCCTCAGCACATGGATAGAAATTCCATCCACTGCATATCCTAGCCTCTTGCCTCTTTTTAACAGCCTAAATAATACCCATCTCCTTAAAAAATATATACATGAAATTGAAAACTCAGTCATCCCACATCCTCAGAGAATGGACAGGTGCCACTCAGATAATAACAGGGCCTCATTACTGAGGACCTGTCA